TCAGAGTCAGGTTTACAGATAATCTGTAGAATGTCAGGTCCTCTCACTAGCTGCTTGACCTTACATAAATCTTAGAACTTCAAAAAACTGCAGTCTTTAAAAGGGGTTGGGGGGATGAGTAGCAATATTATTTTAGTCCTTTTGTGATTCTATGACAAAAATTGTTATTTTATGAACAATAACTTTATTTCTTTAAGTTCTAGAGTTCAAAATGAAGGTATCGGGGCAAGTCTTTTTGTTCTCTTCTTACATTGTGGAGAGGGAAAGGCAGTTCTCAGGAGGTTCTTTATATTATAAAGATACTAAAACCCATTTATGCAGAGTTGGTTCTTATGCCCTAATAACCTTCTAAAGACTCCATTGTCATCTGTCCTTAGATAACCCTGGTGTTATCTGAGTGCTTTAGAAAGAAAGTTGCTATTAATGATAAAGATAACCATTTGTGGAGAAAGCTAAGCAGTTTGCCCATAAGTTCTACTGCCTCTGTGGCTCAGCTGCTCTTGGTTACCAGGCAATGAGGGATGGACAGAAGGCCTGTTGATCTATCTCTTAAACTCTTAGAATTAGATTTCAACATAGAATTTGAAGGAAGAATGAGATTCTAAATGCCTCACAGACAGACATCTATGGCATTCACCAAAGTCCTATGCAACTTGAAGAATTGTACAAGGGGGGGGGGGGGAGAAAGGGGGAGGAGTTGGCGTGTGTGTGTGTGTGTTTGACTCAGATGAATATTCTTGCCCTAAAAACTATTACCTCAAGAATTTTTCCACACACAATCTGGCCCCTGTAGATGCCTGCTTTTTTGTTTTGTTTTTCAGTCGGACAGACCTGAATTCCAGTTGTGGCTTTGTTTTATTAACTAATTACTTTTGTCTCATTTTCCTATTTAAAAAACAAATCTTATGTGAAGGTTAAATGGGAAGAGATGTATGAAGCACTGGTACTCAGAATCAGAGGCTCTTTTTACTGCAGTGAATTTGGGTAGATTCTCAGTTACCAAAAATTTAGGAGTTGTCCATACTTTTTAGGACTTTTGTATGTTTGCAAAGCTCTTTTTTCCCCCCCCTAGTGTTGGCTTTTGTGTTCTAGAACATAGTTTCTGCCCGAAATGTTTGAACTTGGGAAAATGGTCGATTTTTTTTTTTTTTTTTTTTTTTTTTTGCCAAATTTTCTTTCTTACTAACTTGGAGAAGCTGACCCATCCCTTTGAGCTGTAATTGCATTTCAAAGCTTTTGTTCCTGGTGGGATTTAATTAGTAAGGCTCCAGCTTTTAAGCAGTTGTTTGTCTAGCAAGTGAAAGTGAAGACAGTGGCCTAGGAGGCAGTCCCTCTAGTTTTCCTCCAGCATAGCAGTGTTTTTGAGATGCTGTCTTTGTTTTCTGTTCCATGCTTTCCTGAATGCTCATCTCACTTAAAGGAAAAATAGAATACAAAAATCCTGATCTTGTGGGGTATGATAGCCCATCCCTGTAATTTTAGCACTTGGGAAGTAGAAGTAGGGGGAAGACTTTAAGGCCAGCTTGAGCTATATGAGACTTTGTCTTTAAAGAGAGAGGTGGGGGAGAGGGGCTTGGAGGGATCGAGTGGGAGAGAGGATATCAAAGGGCCAGGGCAAAAAAAAAAAAAAAAAAGACAACAACAACAACAAAAACACCTAGACTTAGAGCTGGAGGACATCCCAAACCCAGGCTGTTCTGTGGTATCTGGCCAGGTTCTTCTCCATTATTTTATTTTATTGCCACAGTAAGAACATAAAAACAAAGTTCCAGCTAATCTATCATTACAGATTTCTCTAATAACACATGTGGTTGTTGTATGACCTCTGCCCTCCCCATGCCCACTACCTACCTCTCCTCAGTTGTATTGTTATAAAAAAAAAATCTTGGAGTTTTTGGTACTTTGCTTTTAGTCACACAGTTTATAAAGCAAGGTTTGCCTGGCAGTAGGGAATACTTTATCAAATGAGGTAGTTTTTACTGAAATGGATATTGATATTTTTAGGATTCCTACTCTGTCTGAGACACGTTAATCTTGATGTGGTGGCACAAGCTGGTGATCCCAGCACTTGAGAAGCAGGAGAGTCTGGAGTTTGTAATGATCCATGGCTATATAGCCAGTTCAGAACCAGCCTTAGTTACATGTTACTTTGTCTTTTTTAAAAGATCAGAGGAATAAAGGGGGAAATATAAAATAGGGCTATTTATTAAGTTGGGGGTTGTTGGTTTGTGAGGGTGGGTGTTTGGACCAGACCAGCAAACCAGGCCTGAAAGCTAAGCGGTATGGCATACACCTCTGTGATACAATTCAAGTGCTATACAACTCCCTAGACATGTGTCTGTCCTCTTGGGCTTATGGAGTCTACAGAATAGCATACCGCCTACATGCCAAAGTATCCTGCAATACTTAAAATTCAGCTGGGAGCATATAGATTGAGAGTTTGAGATTTGGGTACCAGAACATGTTCATTTAGCAGCCACATGCATAAACGTTCTGTGTCCTTTCTACAGAGCAGAACAAGGCGACACAGTTGACTCTTGACTCGTGGTATCCTAAGAATGTACTCCAGTCTGCTCATAACTCTCGTTTAGAGTGGTCCCACTAGCAGTGGTGTTAATAGAATAGACAGATAAATAGGTTGTACTAATATTTGATCTTGTAAAATTCTCCACAGTTTGCAAGGTTCTTTTATATTTATTGTCCCAAGGCTCAAGTGAGTTGAGAAAAGATTGGCAGAGCCAAACCTGAAAGACTTGTGCAGTAAACCAGTGAGTGCTAATCTCTCCACAGTACTACGCAAGGGTGTGCAGTGAATGCTTCCTACTAACAGCATGTTAGACACTCCTAACAGTCTGTGGGAATCCACTACTGCCTGTCTTTGTCAGGTAAACGGCAGAGCCAGCAGCCAATGCATCTGAACTATATCATCTCTGCCTTCCCTCTTTTCTCCGTCTACACTCTAGGCCTGGCTGGCTTCCTCCTGCCAAACAAAGTGGCATCTCTGCATAATTTTGAGCAGGATCAGTCACCTAGTGTCACATAGGCAGCTTATAGTTTCTTTATATTTGTGGAGGGACACAGAATTAACCTTTGATTGACTTACCATCCAGGTAGGAGGATTGTTGTAACTGAAAGATGGGGACCATTAAACATTTCCTATTGCTTATGGAGAGTGTATTTGGTGTGTTCATGGGTATCTCCTTGTGTCCTTCACTGATTTGTAAATGTTGGTGTAAAAGTAAACTTAGTAATGAGCCAAGTCAGTTCTAAAGCTCATACCAGCCTCTTCCTCAGTCGCAGCAAGATAAGCTTTGAGACCTTGCTTTAGGATCGTACATAAAGATTACACATTTCTTCAGCTTGAAGTCTTAATTTTCTGGGGGAAAAAAGCCCCCCGCTCCCCCAGTATTAGGTAGAATAAACAGGCAGGCTGGTGAAGGTTTTTATACATTTTGATTGGAGACTATTTAGTACCTTTTGAAACTGCCCTAGAAGATGAGATTGGAGTTGCACACAGAACACAGGGCCAGTAAGTACAAATGCCAACACGAAACCGCAGACTTTGCCTTCTGGAATTAACATCTCTTGGTGCTTATGCCAAGGTGCAGTTCTGCAGAGGGGCTCTGTGGAGGGGCTCTGTGGGGTACAGATTTATTCCCCCCTTTCAAAGACCAAGTCTAATTAGCTGGCCTGAAATTTACTGTGTAGACCAGGTTCGCCTTGAACTCACCTGCCTCTGCCTCCTGAATGCTAGGATTAAAGGCAACAGGACTTACATTTTAAAAAGTCAAGTATAGGGGTATGCACTTGTAATACAAGTGCTAGAAGAAGCAGAGGTAGGCTTACTGGCTGGCGAGGTCAGCCTACTCAGTGAAGATTAAAAAAACAGTCTCCCAAAACTAAACAAGCAGGCAGATTGTACCTGAGGCATGATAATTCAGTTTGTCTACTGACCTGCATATAGACACACGTACAAGAGGAGTTGCAAACTCATTTATGAATTGAACTGATTTTGAATCAGTATAAAGTGAATAACTAATAAATTAAATTATTAAAGACCATTCTCAGGTAAATTTGTTATCTTAACTATTTAAATTGGCTTTAACTCTAGGAGGCAGTGATGAAACTGACAGAAATGGGCTTTAAAAGTGTTTAAATGCCTCTTATTAGCAAGTTAACAATCTTAAAAAAAGCTGAGTCTCAGTTTCTGGTAAAATAATCTATATATTCATCCACAAGTTTTTGGGATCAATCAGTATTATATGCTACCCCTTAGCCTACAGTAAGTGCACCTTTTGTAGAGTGGCTGGCACAATAAAGACTTTATTGGCTGGGTTAGTAAAGATGAGGTGTACATCTAGATCAGACTAAGCAATTTTATAATAGGGGACTTCAAAAATCCCTTGAAATAGCTTGTGTCCTCTTTGTTATGGCTCTGCATTGAAGGAACAGATATGCTGTAGAAAAATATTAAATTTAGTTTTTAAACGGGGTAACATTTGTGATAAGTATTTTAAAAGATACAGGGTTTAAGAAAAATGGAGTCAGGGCTGGAAAGATGGCCCAGGGATTGAGAGCCCTGGCTGGCTGTTCTTCCAGAGGACCGGATTCTACCCCCAGCACTCACATGGTGGCTCGCAGCTCTCTGTAACTTCTAGTTTCCTGCCGAAAAACACCCAATGCTAATTAAAAGGAGTCAAGAGACTGGTTAAAGCCAACCTTGCTGTTGACTGGCATCATGAACTTCCAGTGTTGGTTTTTCCCATGTGAGTACCAAATAAGGGAACATTGTAAGCCATCTAGTATAAGACTAGCAGCCAGTAAGTGGCAACTGTTGATAATGGAACAAGAAAACAGGCTGCAGGGACAGGGAGAATGGGTGTCATAGGGATGAGAATGTGAGCAAGGCAAGGAACAATCCAGGTTAGTCACATACGGGCCACGAACATTCCCCGAGCCTAGCCTGGGAGCCCAGTTTCACATTGTCATTATCTTTTCAGGTGGATACCATGTCCTTGAAGATTCAGACCAGCAATGTAACCAACAAGAATGACCCCAAGTCCATCAACTCTCGGGTCTTCATTGGAAACCTAAACACTGCTGTGGTAAAGAAGTCAGATGTGGAAACCATCTTTTCCAAGTATGGCCGTGTGGCTGGCTGTTCTGTGCACAAAGGCTATGCTTTTGTCCAGTATGCAAATGAGCGCCATGCCCGGGCAGCTGTGCTGGGAGAGAATGGACGGGTGCTGGCTGGACAGACTCTGGGTAAGTTAACCTCTGCTGTCCTCTATGTAGCTACTGTCTGGGATTTTATGATTGCAACGTATATAAGTTATATTTGTAATTCTTAAATGAGTGCCTATAAGGGATTATTAGAGGGGCCCCCTTTCTCCTGTCTTTGCTTTCCCAATGAGTCTTTTTTAAAAATTATTTGTGTTTCTGGGTATGATGGCGTGTGCCTTTAATCCCAACACTTGGAAGGCAGAGGCAAGTGGATCTCTGAGTTCAGGGCCAACCTGCTCTATAGAGTGAGTTCCAGGGCAACCAGGCCTACACAGGGGGATCCTGTCTCAAAATGAATGAATGAATGAATAAGGTTTGTATACACTTACACATGAATATGTATATCATGGCTCCTGTGTAGAGAGACATCAGAGGACAGCTTTTATGGAGTTGGTTCTCTATTCCCACCTTCATGCGGATTCTTAGGATCAGACTCAGGCCATCAGGCTTACTAGACAAAACCTTTCTCCCTGTTCTTCATAGCTTGTTTCCCCTTAAATTTTTTTTCATACAGTATATTTTGAATATTCCCCAACTCCTCCCAGACTTTGTTTTTTCCGAGACAGGGTTTCTCTGTAGCTTTGGAGTCTATCCTGGAACTTGCTCTGTAGACCAGGTTGGCCTCAAACTCAGAGATCTCTAGCCTCTGCCTCCTAAGTGCTGGGATTAAAGGTGTGTGCCACCACCGCCCGGCTTCCTCCCAGATCATACCCACCCATCTAATTTTGTTTTTTTTCCCTCTTTCTCTCAAAGATAAGAATAAAAACAAGGAAAATTAAATAAGCAAAAAAAAAAAAAAAAAACCCAGAGAGATAAAAATGAAGCAAAAAGCCCCCCTCCAGGAAAAACAAACAAAAAACCATTAATTTAGTTTAGTGTTGGCCAACTCCTCCTGGGCAGGGGTCTGCCCTGGTATGTGATAAACACACTGGAGCAAACTAATTTTTCTTTTGCTGGCAGATATCAGTTGCAAATAATCTCTTGTTTAGGAGTAAGGATACTTTGTTCAATTAACCCCTTTAAGTGCTACAACCTGGTTGGGCTCGAACCTGTGTAGGTCCTGTGTGTGCTGCCACAGCTTCTGAGTTCAGATGCGCATTAGTCCTGTTGTGTCTGGAAGACACTGTGTCTTTGAAATCATCTTATCACTTCTGGCTCCGGCCTTTCCACCTCCTCTTCTGCATAGATCAGTGTGCCTTGAGGGGAGTGGTTTGGTGAAGACATCCTATTTAGAACTCACATTGTTCAGTCCTGGGTGTCTTTTAATTCCTGTCTATTGTAAGAAGCAGCTTCTCAGATGTGGGTTGAGCAATGCACTCACTGATCTACCGTCATAACCTCTTAATAACAAGCTTTATGGGTCCAGTTAAAAGCAAAAAGGAACAAAATGGTCTAGTATATCCTGTTACCCCAATATATAGAAGATAGGGGTTAGAATCCTTTCTAAAAGCTGTGAGGAGCTGTGAACACAAGGACTAAAGGGAAGCCTTGTGTTCTTGGCATTATTGATTACATACATATGAAGTGACTGTTGTCTACCTCAGTGTTTTTATGTGTGTATGTGTGCACACGTGCTTGCTTGCTCACATACTTTGTATAGGAGTATATCTATATGTATGTATTAGTGAATATGAGATGTGCAGATGTGATTAAATGTGTAGAGAATGTGAGCACATAGTTTTACATGTATATGTATAATGTGTGTGAGAATATTTGTGAGTGTGGAAGCAGATGTGCTTATATTTTTTTAATGAATATTTCTTATAGGCTAAGCACTATGGTAGGCATAAAGATGTTTAGTGTAATACCCATGAGTATTCATTGGCTTCTTTGCCTATAAGCAGCCTGATTATACTTGAGTATAAGGGTTATCTATGTATATAACTTTCTTACCTGGATATGTATATAATATGTGAGGGTGTGTATGTGTTCATATATATCTGATTTTTATGAACATACTTGAAATATGTATTGAAGACTTACGTATGTGTTAGAATATATATGAATATACAACCAGGTATATCCCTGTGATGTCCTAGTATTCTTCTAATGTTTGAAAATCAAGTGAAGACCTTTAGATAGCTCAGTTCCATGTGTGCACTGTGTAGATACATGGAGGCACGATGACGACATGTGGGCACACTGCTGTCATGTCAGCATTCCAACTCTGCTTTTCCCTCCACACAGACATCAACATGGCCGGAGAGCCCAAGCCCAACAGACCCAAGGGGCTAAAGAGAGCAGCAACTGCCATATACAGGTGAGGCTCTATGGTTTTTTTGTCTGTATTGGTTGGGTTCCTCTTTTCACAGAGGGTGTAAATGCTGATAGTGACAGTGTGCTGAGTTTAGAATTTAGGAAGACATTTGGAGATGAGGACCTATGGAGAAGTGGGCTGAGTGGCCATCTCCCTTTGTTTTCCCAGTGGCTACAGCTTTGACTATGATTACTATCAAGACTACTTCTGTGCCAGGTGAGCAGGGAAGGGGCGTGTCTAGGCATTAAATAGCCAAACTGGAAGGGTCTTAAGAGATTGCTGGTGTAGCTCACAGAGTCCTGATTGGGAACTGAAGCACAGAAGTGTGAATGGGTCTTTGCTTCAGGATGCTTCACAAATCGGGGACAGAGCTTGGACCAGAGCACTTATGTCACCCTCTGACTGCCTTGCCTCTTTCTAGTACTGTAGTTTTTCTAGTCCTATAGTGTAGGGGAGTGTATAGTTTAAGGATGAACACAGCTGGCTAGCTGGGGTACACAAACAGTCACAGTGCCTTCACAGGTAGTTCTTGAGCCCTTAAACTCTGTTCAGTCTCACCCAGCCAAAATGAAAGCTTGATCTGACACTTATGACTAAGAGGCCACAGTTATTTGGAGGCCTGAATTAGTTCCTGATGGGTTGTGATCTGCCTTCTATCCCCAGTCAGTCCTACCTAGACTTCAACCTTGAAGTCTATTCCAGAGGCCTCAGCCACATTTGTTGAGAACAGTTTTAAGAACTCATTATCCTTCTACATCTGCCTGTTGAGTGCAGGGATTATAAGACTAACCACAATGCCAGCTCCTGGTCATATGCTTGACTAGAGGTCGTAGTAAAGATTAAATCAAAATCACTCCTTCCTTCTCCAGACATTCCAAGAAAAACACCTTTTCTGAACCATTGTCTCTGCTGTGTGTTTCAGGAAATAGTGTGGTACAGTGGAAAGTCTCATAACTGGAAGTCAGGAGAATTGCATGCTGATCTCAGCCTGTCACTGAATGGATTGTCTATCTTTGCAAATTCTCCTACTTACTAGCCAGTGAGATAGGCTTACACCAAATGATCTCTCAGGACTCCTGAAGCTCTTGGGATTCACTGGTTCAGTGATTTCTGACCAAGGTCAAAGCCATCACCTCCCCATGTGGTCAGGGATTGGTTCATTCCCAGAGACTGATCCCTAGCTGTTACTCTTTTGAACAAGAGCACCAAAAAATGGAGCCTGAGTTTCTTAGTGATGGCAGGTATTATGACTCCAAAAAGTAGTTATAGAGTGTATCCCTGACACGGCTGTGGTTCCTTTCAGAGCTGAGGTTAAAGCAGGTGTGGTGGGACAGTTCTCCTACTCAGCCTTCAGTTTCTGTCTCATTTTCAGGAAGAGAATCCCTTCTGGAGAGGACCAGGTTATATGCTAGAGTAACAGCATATAGCCTGGGAGCTTTGGGTCTAATTTAGTACCCACCCTTTAAATACTGTTGAGTGCTTGACCTATATCTCTGAAGTATAAAAGGCGTTGAAGTGGTCAAAAAGAAAAAAAGGGTTTTAGCTGGGCAGTGGTGACAGGCGCCTTTAATCCCAGCACTTGGGAGGCAGAGGTAGGCGGATCTCTGAGTTCAAGGCAAGATCCAGGACAGCCAGGACTGATACACAGAGAAAGCCCTGTCTCGGGGTCGGGGGTGGGGAGAAAAAAGGGGCTTAGAGTCTGAGGCCATGGTTGAGTGTGTATCCAGCTTTTGCCTGTCATTTTCATACTTTCTCAAGTGTTTTAAATCAGGTTCTCATGCTCTACCCTTTCTGCACGCTCAGGTAGACAGTGAACTTGGACAGCCCTCATTAAGTAGATGAGAAAACCAAGGTTCAGGGGTTGGCCACCTGTTTTCAAACCTGTTTCCAGGTGGGGATTTAGGCTGTTTTGACATTTACAGACTGATCAAAGGTTGGGGGTGGTGGTTATCTGAGTAGAAGGCAGGTCTGGATGTCAGTCTCTTGAGACTGGGCATCCATACTGCTCCTGGCCTGACTGGGGATAAGGTGGAAATAGTAAGGTTTTCATTAGACTTTAGCATCCAGTAAAGAAAGCCCTTTTCATACCAGGGCTCGCTGAAAGCAGACACTTCTTTCTGGCCCTTTCAGGTTAGACGGGTAAAGCTAGTGTCGTAGTGCCTCCTGGTGGTCACAGGCCATGCTGCAGCCTCTGTTTTATTTGCCTTTGCAGGCTGTTTGATTATCGAGGCCGCCTTTCTCCAGTGCCTGTGCCCAGAGCAGTTCCGGTGAAGCGACCTCGTGTCACGGTTCCTTTGGTTCGCCGTGTCAAAACTACAATACCTGTCAAGCTCTTTGCCCGTTCCACAGCCATCACTACTGGCTCAGCCAAGATCAAATGTGAGTGACACTTTCCTTCCTTCCTCTCTCTCTTTCTCTTTTTCATTTCTATTTTTATTTTATTTTGAGACAGGGTCTCACTGTGTATCTCTGGTTGGCTTGGAACTTACCATATAAATCAGACTGACCTAAAACTCATAGAAATTCGTCTACCTCTGCCTCCTGGGTGCTAGAATTAAAGATGTGTGCCACCGCATCCTGGTGACATCTATCAGTCTTTCTAGATTGTTGGATCTTGAACCCCTTTGGTTGTATACCAGATATCCTGCATACCAGGTATTTACATTACAATTCATAACAATAGCAGAATTACAGTTAAGAAGAAGCAATGAAATAAGTTTATGGTTCGGGTTTACTATAACATAAACTATATTAAAGGGTTACAGCATTAGGAAGGTTGAGAAGCACTGCTCTAGATGGTTTGGGTTTTATCACTAAAATGATAGAATCAGATTTTTAGCAATTGATTTTTAAAATTTTAAACTTTTTTGTTTCTTTTTGTTTTCCAAGACAGGGTTTCTCTGTGTCACAGTCCTGCCTGTCCTGGCACTCACTCTGTAGACCTGACTGGCCTCGAACTCACAGAGATCTGCCTGCTTCTACCTCCAAGTGCTGGGATTAAAAGCATGCGCCACCACTGGCCGGCTCATCTGTGTTTTTATTTTATGTGTATGGGTGTATACCTGCATGTGTACCTCTGCACCATGTATATGCAGTGCCTGTGGAGGCTAGAAGAAGGTGATGGATCCTCTGGGACTGAACAGTTGTTAAAGACAGTTTTGAGCTGTCATGTAGGTGCTAGGGATCAAACTCAGTCTTCTGCAAGGGTAACCAGTGCTCTTAGCCAGTGAGCCATCTCTCTAGCCTCTAGAATCATACTTTATTAACATTGATAAATAAAGGAGTAAATCTACAGTTGAAGTTACTCTTAACAATTATGTGTTTGGATGCATTTCTTAAATTAAAAAAAAAGAAAGAAAGAAAAAGTCCAGTGCTGTGGTGTGACACCCACTGAGGCGATAGCATTATTCTGGTCTTTGTATACTGCAGTCAAGCACTCAGGAAATCTAATTGCAATAGACTTTTTAGTTGTTATTGTTTTTTCCAAGATAGTGTTGGAGTCTGTCCTGGAACTTGCTCTGTAGACCAGGCTAGCCTCAAACTCAAAGAGATCCACCTGCCTCTACTTCCTGAGTGCTGGGATTAAAGGCGTGTGCCACCACCTGGCACAACTCCACCCAATAACACACCTGATAACACATGATTACTTCACTGCAGACCTACATTGTTTTTCTTTTTGAGATAGGATCTCATGATCTAAACAAGGTTACTTTAGAACTCAAAATCCTCCTGCCTTAGTCTCTGAAATGCTGGGATTGCAGATGTGCAGCACACATGGCCCAGACTACAGGCAAGCTTTATTAAAACATAAATAAAATATCAGTCTATTTCCCCCTTTATCTAAAATCATAAAAAATAAGACTATATCTAATATAAGAAAAACTATATACAATAAGTACAATAACTATATACAATATATACAGGCAGTAAATACATCAACAATGCCTAGTTCCTTTGCATTTGACAAATTCAGAGAAAATAATCCATATCCTATCTTGGTGAGTCCAAAGTCTCATACCTAATTTTACTATCATAACTTGTATTACCATTCAAAGCTATCTTTTGCTATCTCTCAACCTTAACATTTCTTTAGTGAATTTCTTTTCTGAGTCCCATAGCAGTGGAAACTATAACTGTCTAGTTTTCAACTACCTCAGAGACCCAAGAAGTATAATAATAACTGTGTAAGCAGGAAGTGCGAGTGACTTCCGAAAAATGTGAGATATGGCTGGCTGCAATCAGGACAGCATAATGTCAGCAGTTGAGGCAAGGGCACTTTCTTGCCCAGTGGCTTACTTTTGTTACAAACAAAGCAAACTCCATGTGGAGTTTCTTCCATGCCCATCATCTTCTCTGAAGTAGATTGGTGCCACCAGGAGCAGATATGTCTCATTTTCATTTAAAAAAAAAAAAAGAACCAGTGTCATTCTAAAAAAATTAAATGCCATATTCTGTAGATCTCTGAAGTGTTTGAAGATAACCTGTCTATTTAAAATATAGCTCTGTTTGACCTTGAAAACATATTTAATGTGACAAGTTCAATTGTAATAGGTGACTGATTACTAACCTGCATTTCCTTATTATCCTAAACAGTTGGTAATAATACTTTCAAGGATTAGAAGTTTGAACTACATTGTTAAATGAGCTGTATAGGTATAGTACCTTGAAAAAGATTAGAAATGTATGTACAGTCTGTTTTAACAAAAATTAATCTCAAATTTCTATCAATATATAAAATTTTTGTACAGTATACAAAAGTCCAATTCTATGTAAAACTTTTAAAACTAGTAGTTGCTTTTTAAAAGTAGATTCACAATCTACTTTTATATCTCTATCATCCCTTTTTCAGAGTTGATTCAATAATCTACCCTTTTATCCTATCATATCTATATCCTTTTTTCTTTGCAAAGCAAGAACCTTAAATCTAATTTCCTTTGTTTAGCTTTTTTCCTGACCATTACCAGTAACAACTTGCAACCCCCCAAAATGACAAATATCCATAACCCATTGAATGTCCAAAGCCTCCCACCCTACATCTTTGGAATGTGAGTGTCGTATTCTTAAATACACTTTCATTCCTATGCTGTGGGATAATACTTTTGTACACTGTAAAGATTTGTCATTCATATTAATAAAACGCTGATTGGACCATAGCCAGGCAGGAAGTATAGGTGGGGCGAGCAAACTAGGACAATTCTGGGAAGAGGAAAGGCAGAGAGTCAGTCACCAACCAGACACAGAGGAAGCAAGATGAGAATGGCACATGGCTAAACATAGACAAGAATTATAGGTGAATTTATATCATAAGAGCTAGTTAGTAATAAGCCTGAACAATAGGCCAAACAGTTTATTATTTAATATAAGCCTCTGTGTGTTTATTTGGGACTGAAAAGCTGTGGGACTGTGCAGGACAGAAACTAACATCTATATACTATTCATCTGTAATCCCTATAGGATTGGGAGGTCTAGGCCAGGTTCATATGTATAGATTGGTCACCCCTGGAGATAGCCTCTTGATTCTCTCAAGAAGAGATCTTTTCCCTTGGCAGGAAAAGACCCAAAAGAGAATGGCCTCCCTAGTTGACAGAATGAAGCTGGGTTTTGTTTGCATCACCCCTAAGTGATAACCCTGTCTCCTCTCCACTTTCAGTAAAGAGCAGCGAGCTACAGACCATCAAAACAGAACTGACACAGATCAAGTCTAACATTGATGCCCTATTGGGTCGCTTGGAACAGATTGCTGAGGAACAAAAGGCCAACCCAGGTCAGTCTTTGGGAAGATAGTATGCCCAAGGGTTAGGAACTTGAAGTTCCAGGGCCCTGAGACCTGCTGTATAGTGACTAGCTTTCACTAAGGTGTGCTGAGTAGCTGCTCTAGCTGATTAGTTCCTTTTCCACTTCTTTTATCCTTCAAGATGGCAAGAAGAAGGGCGACAGCAGCAGTGGTGGAGGAGGTGGCAGCAGCAGTGGAGGCAGCAGTGGCAATGCTGGTGGTAGCGGCGGCAGCAGTGGCAATGCTGGTGGTGGCAGTGGCAGCTGCGGTAGCAGCAGCCGGCCACCAGCCCCCCAAGACGACACAGCTTCTGAGGCAGGCACACCCCAAGGAGAAGTCCAAACTCGAGATGATGGTGATGAGGAGGGACTGCTAACACATAGTGAGGAAGAACTGGTAAGTGCCTGGCTAGCTGTGTGACTTGGAAGGGCTGGGGCTGTTCCCCCTGTTAGCTCCTTCCTTTTTACTTTTCAGAGTGCCAGTCCTATGAGGAGTAGGGAAGAATGAGTGAGCAGTGTATCGTTCACTGAGCTGCCGGTTAGAAGTCCCACTGTATACTGGGGCAGGCCTCAGCAAAGCCCAGGGTCCAATCTGTCTTCTACTCTAAGTATATTGAAGAGAATTGGGCCTAAGAATTGTACACACAGCCTCGCAGGGAGGAAAGCCATAGGAAGACAGGAATTTTAATTTCACATGAGAATTTTCTAAAAAGCTATTGCCTTTCAAGCATCTAGCAGGCTGTCTCTTAAAGGAATGAACTCCTGTATATACTGGAAGTATTCAGAATGAGGTTAGGAGCCATGAGAGTGGGCCTAAATTGTGCGAAAAGGTCCAATTCTTTTCAACATTCAAGATGCCTCTTACAGTGTGTTTGCTGCTTGTTTAGTGAACACTGAATTAAATATCACACTTTGTAACTTAACAACCTTAACAATAGTCTTGAACTACACATTACATTAGAATGGCCACATTTACCCTGAAGAAGCTAAAGCTCAAAGTTACCAGGTACCTTGCTCAGAACCTTACAGCAAGTAAGAGCAAACCCTGTCTGTCCTGAAGCCTAAAAACTTGACTGGGTCTGGAGCTTTTTTTTTTTCTTTTAATCACTGCTGGCTTACAGCACGAGGATGGACTTTGTGGTAGACATAAATCCTCCTTACACCCCTCATTTCTTTTTTCTTTAAGCCTAGCCTGGTACTATATCTTACTATCTTAGGCATAGTGCTCTCAGTGAAAGCTCTAAAAGATTAAAAAGTACTCCAAAGGTGAGCTATGTGGCTTTAAACTTACTGTAGTCCATGGTCTTTCCATGCATAGAAATGTGCCCATTACACCAGCAAATCCCATGGTTTCTTCCCTTTCCTGTGCAATTGTCAAATGACCTTCTCAGAATACTAAGCCAGATTTTTGTGCTGGTTTTTAGTTGGATCTCCCTTTAAATGGTTCTCCAGGTAGTGCTCTGACCCACAGAACCTTCCTGGACAGAAAGCTCAGGCTTGGGACCTGCAGTGAATGATGTGTCTTGTCTTCTTCCTCTCAGGAGCACAGCCAGGACACAGATGCAGAAGATGGGGCTTTGCAGTAAGCAGGTATGAGGTGCCCAAGAAGCACAGGAAATTAACGAAGTGGAGGCTGTAATTTTTTCCTGGTGTGGGTCTAGAGAATCATACTGTGCCAAGGTTGAAGGTCCTTAGATGCAGCCTTACTCCTGTAGCCAGCATATCAGGGCCACTCGTGAAGTGTTCCCTTGGGGGCAGGATGACAGTGGAGGAAAACTGCGGACTAGGGGTGGTAGAAAAATACTGTGCAGCAGCTTAGTGTGCGTATTACTGAGGGAGAAGTATTCCATAGAGAGAACAGACAGCCTTCTGTTATTGGCCAGTCTTCATGGTGCAGTACGGACAAGAGTTGCCTGTTCTGTAGCCCAGCTCTGAAGACTAGGGAAAAGGTGCCATTCATTTTCAGAGGGGGTGACTGAAGTATCTCATGGACCCTGGTTAGTTCAGCTGATCCTGTTAATGGGAGATGTCCTGTAAGCCTGTATGACAGGAGCTGTTAGTTTATCTGATCTCCTCCTCTACCCTGCAAGATTAGAATTGTGTGTGTATCATAGAAGTGGAAATGCAGGTGTTGAATGGTAAAATGAAATATCAGCATGTCTCTTGAAATTTGGAGCTTAAATTTGAATTCAGTAACATGCAACCCCAAAGTCTCCACTCTGGCCACTGTTTCCTGTTCTGCCCTACTCTAGAGGAGGTCTATAAGTGACAGAGAGACACCTTGATAAGTCACATGTTTGTAATACAGGATCTCTATCATTAAGAGCTTCCAGATTAGTTCAGAAATTCCCAGAATGTGTTTATTATATCCTGTGGTATTAAGGCTCAGGTGGGGAGATAGCTCTGGGCAGAGGTTGAGCCTTTCTCATGATTAATTATATGGTCAGAAAATTGGGCAAGGTGCAGATAGCTCTACAGATAGTTCACCCCTTTTCTTTACTACTGTGATTAAAGAGTTTCTGTCTCTCAGCCTTAGTTTCTTTTTTGCCTTGACAGGAGAAATGGCCACCAGCAAAAGAGCATCACTGTCTCAGGCCTCAAGACAGGCACCCATCTCTGGATGCCAGTTTGTAGCGGGTACCAGAGGAAAGCTGACACTAGGCACTCCTCTCCCCATGCATCCCAGCCAGTGAGTGCTACATCCTTTGCAAGTGGAGTTACTGGCCTACCCCTTACCCCATGCACTCTTCCTGTCTGCACTGCCTCGGGCCAAGGGGCAGAATACATTCTGCCCATTTTCCCCAGGGCATTCCCAGGCTTGGGGTTTTTCTATAGGTTTGAAAGTAAGGGGGGTTGGGATGGGGGGGGGGACCTGAGAATAAAGAGATTGGTCCAAATATGCTGAGATGGAATGGTTTGCTTGTTTATTTGGCTGGTTTTGTTTACATTTATTGTCATTGTGCATGTATGGTATGGTAGACCATTTGTGGGGGGGGATCAAAGGACAACTTTGTGGAGACACTTTGATCTTTCCATCTTTGTATGAAATTTTGAGATTGTCAGGCTTGCGCAGGAAACACTTTACCCGCTGGGCCTTCTCACTGTCTCCACTTCTATGATAAAACACTATAACCAAAAGCAAGTTGGGAGTAAAGGGTGACAAACATCTCATGGGAAATCAGGGCAGGAACTGATTGATACACAGGCTTCCAGGTGCACTGCTCATGGTTTGCTAAGCCTGCTTTCTCAAAGCAGGCTGGGCTTCCCACATGAATCTGCAATCAAGAAAATGCAGCATAGGCCAGTCTGGTGGGAGAACTTTCTCACAATTGAGGTTCTCTTCTTTCCCAAGATTTTAGGTTGTGTCAAACTGACAAAAGCAGTCAGCATACTAACCTGTGGCCTTTCTCACAGTGGTGTTCTGGCATTCCTGCCCACCAGAGAGCTGGTGCGCTCAATCTTTCTGTTCTTCCATCACTAACTTCTCTTCTCCAGGGAACACTCTCCAGTGTCCCATACTTGATCCATTTACACCAGCATTTCTCTGCTAAATCACTTAAGTTAGGTATGATGGCACATGCCTATCATCTCAGCACTTGGGGAAGTGGAAGCAGAACGATCAGTTTGTGACTGGTCAGAACTCACTCCCTGAGACCTTGTCTCAAACAAAACCAAAACCCACAAATGTACAAATCATTTTTGGAGCATCTATGCAAACTCTAGACTCTAAATAGCTTGAAGCAAGAAAAAGCCCTATTTCTTTCCTGACAGTATGATACAGGAGTTGTGAAATTAAAGCTGGGTGGGGGTAAGGTAGCATGTAAATATAAGCCCTAAATTATTTTTCCCTTTTGGTAACCTTAAGCCATTTGTTCTACTCTATCACTGCCATTTTGGGCTGTAAGATTATACTCAGACATTGTTCTGAGCTGGCAGTGTCTTGTTCCTATCTCCTTTTTGGGAAATGGCTCTTGAGTTCAGGGATGTTTCTATACTAGTTGATTGCTTCTTAGGAACTAAATGTTCTCAGAAAGGACTCCCCACCTCAGGATGCCTGCCCCACTGGATCCCTTATTGAACATTTCCAGTTCTAGCTATCAGCCACACCACAACTTCTGTTTTGGTAGAGAACAGATGTTGAATGTGGGCCCCGTTATGGAAACATCTGGAAAGTGGCTCACGTCCCAGTAATTGCTTGTATTAGTGGGGCTTTTTTAGATTGTTATCTAGTCTGGGATCACAGGAATGGGCCTCCATATCTGCCCCACTTTTTGCTTTAGCTATATTCCTTTTGTAGTATTGGCTCTGTAAGAACGTGTGTGTTGAAAAATAGGCTGGAGATTTTGTGGGTATTCTGCTAAATTCTTTATAGGTATTTTCTCCCAGAAGTGGAGATACATCCTCTTAGCTTATTGGGAACTGATTTATTTGTCAAAGCTCATGTCACTTGGGAGCCGTGATGCAAATCTCCACTTGTAGCTTAAAATGCCTCAGAAGTACTGCTGCTCCTGATTTTTGAGTCTCTTGGGGCTTTCCTCCTCTGTATATTCCCAGTGAGTCCCTCTAATGCCTGTACCTCTCTTTACCCTTTTCCTTTATGGAACCTAACCTATGGCATCTGACTGCAATGACTTCAGTATCACACGCCCAGCCCCAGTTGGTCTGGACAATCACCACTTTAAGTTCGCAGCCTCTACTCTAATTTTCCCATGGTAGTTAAGTTTCAGACACGTTCTATTTCTTGACATTCCAACAAGAGGTAACCATCTATAAAGTACCATGTGATTGAGTTGCATAAGACAAAATGTCATGTTTTTAAAGTAAGCTTGTAGTTTTGTGTTATACCAACATTCATGGCTATGTTTGACTGGCTTGCTTGCTGGTCACAGGTTAAACACACCTCGGCCCTTTTTTCATATTAGATTTTTAAAAGTTTCGTATGTTTTTAGGTGTATGACCTGTGTGGATCTTACCACATTACATACAAAAGAGGGCATTGGGAACTGGAGTTAAATAGTTGTGAGTTACCATGTGAGTTAGTACTGGGAATCAAACCTGAGTCCTCTCAGAGAGCACTGAGCCACCTTTCCAGCCCTAGACTTTACAATAACCTGGTCTCCATATTTACTTTGTACTAGGCCTCTGCTGCTCTCCCTCCCTCCCTCCCTTGAGATCTTAGATACCTGTCTGTCTGTCTATCCCAGCTATATGAGCTCTGGTTGGTACTGCCTAGGTCTCCAAAGTACTGGGAATTAAGGTGTGTGCTACCAAACCCAGCTTTTACCAGCCCTTTAATGTTCACTGTTATGAAGTTGAAAATTGTGGTTGAAGTCACTAGCAGATAAACTGTCCCATGCCATCCCCTAAGGAGTCCCACCAAGAAAACTGGACAAAACATACATACAACACACAAAAGCAATGGAGCAGTAGTTATACAAGAGGCACCGATCCTTGCTTTATTCACGCAATAATAGCCAACATTGGGAATTAGGGGCAGAAGTACAAAAAAGAAAAAAATTGTAGTCAATAAACAATTGTGATCAACATGGCAGTGAGTAGTGGCATGTCAGCCAGTGTATGGCCCATCTCTTGACCTACTTGGTCTAGGGAAGGATCCCTCTACCACTTCACAGCCAAGTCATTTGGTAACACTTGGCCTATACTTGAAAATTCAGGGTCACAGTAATTAAAAACAATATAGCCAAGACTCAGGGCTGGCTGAGTGACTGTTATTGGGCCATTTAGCAAGATTAACAGTCTGGTAGCAGGAAAGTGAGGAGTATCGTGTAGGTCCTTATCCTGGTGAGTGCAAGTAAGGCAGAACATAGCACAGACCCACAAGATGGACCCTCCTTGTGCACCGATGGAGAATACCTCGCTAGCTCAGTCCTCAGAAGCAAAGCTGGAGGTAACAGCAAGACCACACACGCAGCAGTATCTCTTGGTTTCTCGGCTACATTCAAGTTAGTTTCGTACAGAAAAGCATTTTAGGGGGCAGGGTCTTTTACTGACCTAGAACACAGGTTGGAGAAGCTTAAGTGCTGCTATTTTAGACCCTAAGAAGACTTGTCTGTACTGTGCATGCTTTCTCAACAACAAAAAGCCTAACATCATTAGTATGCCAGGAATAGGACAGACAGGCCTGTAACAAGAATTCCAAGGTCTAGCACCTGATAATTCCCTTGTGCAATAACAACTGAAATTTCAGCTGGAGTCAGTTTCAACTGCTGTCACACGAGGGAAATGAGGAATTGGCAGTGAGGTAGTAGCAACAATCCTCACAAAAGGAAATAATGAAAACATTCTGTGGATACTAAAAACAGGCTGCTGTGCCATGCCTTATGTTCCAGCCACTCAAGTCATACCGATTCTAGCCATGTAGCTCAAGAGAAGCTGAAAGGGAAGATGGCTGCCCAGCTCTAGTATCTGCCAATATTCAGTTTATGAGGACAGAGAGAACTTGCCAAAGTCCAGGAACCAAGTTTGTTGTTTTGTTTTTTGCTAAATTCAATGAGCATTTTATTATAGAAAAGAAAACTAAAGGACAGATCAAATTGAAAGAATCACTGTTATAATAACTTTAATTTATCTTGCACTTTACAGAAGTCTATGAACGATTTTAAAAAGCACCTCCTTACCCCATCACGTTTCTCTGACAGTTGTTAAAGTACGCAACAAGATGTTGAGCTTGAGTATCAGCATCTTGCAAGGATTTCAGATCAATCACTCACCAAAGAACTTGGCAGATTTTCTATCTTGTTTTTAACTCAATGGTACGTCCACTCTGATGGTAACCTGTCCAGCCAAATCTCCACCACACATTTTGGAAAAAATCAGTGGTGATTAGCAAATTAGTTAGCTTTGGCACGGAGCTGTGCTCGCTTGCCTGTGACAGCCTGGAAACCAGTTTTGATACTGGCAACAGAGCATCGAGAATGACAAGTTTCACACTGTAAGAAATAGAGTCGGGTGTCTTTCTGTAGGATTGTGTCCGGTGATCGGCATGTGTGACAAGTGACGTATTCCTCTGTGGAAAAAGCAACACAGTATTATCTGCTAGGCACAGTAAGGCAGAAGCTCCTGCTTGCCCACAGAAATGCATCTACCTCATAAGCTGAAGACCAGAGAGTACAGTTTACCATACCAGACAGGGAAGTCTAGCTAATGGCTATTAGCTGTCTGCTATAATGCTTTTGGTGTAGTAAAATACATATTAAAAGAACTTCAAAATGCCCCAGTTAGGGAAGTTTGCCAGATGGGTATTCTTGGTGCCATTTATGGATGATCCACTTTTGCCTTAGGTGAGAAAAGGCAGGAAATGCCAATTTTAAACGATTAGGTAACACAAGAGGGTCAAGGCAAGCCGAGCCAGAACCAGCCAGCAGAGGCTATATTAACTTGGCTTTCTACCGCTTGACTATCATTTTCCATCCTCTCCTCCTTTTGTGGGGCGGTGGGGTACAGGTGGAGAGGAGAGGTTTGAGACAGGGTTTCTCTATGTAGATCAGGCTGGCACCAGACTCAAAGATCTCTCAAGTACTGGGACTGTGTGTGCTACCATGCCCAGCTCCATCTTTTTAAGGCTTACTTTTTCCCAGGTTCATTAAAAATGAATCTCCTCAAAATGCCACAGCCTAAAGAGAATTTCAAAATAATACGATAAAATCCAATTATACACTTACTGATATATCTTCTCAAGACATTTTCTATCTGTTTCTGTTGGAATCTTCCTTTGATTACAAGTTGGTTATTACCATCTATAGAGCCACTATGAAAGAAAGCATAAATATCCCATTATTTTTGTTTTCCTGAGGGAGCTCAATTCCAGCATACTTAATGAACTTAAAATATCTTCAATAATGATCATTTTTCAGG